AGGCTCGGCTCATTTTCCTGCCTCTTCGATCAACCAATCAGTACGAAAGCTGTAAATATGGAAGCAATTGCATTTAGAAGCAATAACTACAACTCATATTTTCATACCTTATTCATAGTTTAGTCGCTGGAAAACGCTAATTGTATGTTCGCAATCTCGTTTCTGTTTTACTTGAAAAATTATCAAAATTTATAAATACTAATGCCCAAAACATGATATCTCAAAAGGATCCTACACTACGTCAAATAAAATCTTTAGAATGGACTCAGTATAAAGTAAATTATTTGAGCCCGGGAGTATCAATGTTACATGCTCTAGATGTAGATCGTCTAGGTTAGTAAAGTCTTGAGAAGGATTTTGATGTTGATGTTGACTGACCTTGACAATCTTAGCAGTAGTATTTTGACTATAAACGATTGTTTCGCTAAGGTTATGTCGAAACGTCAATCAACATCATCATCAACAGTCCTTTCTATGGATTTACTAACCTGGATGATCTCATCTACAAACATGTACTCAGTATATTGTGTATTGTAAAGCAAAATGGCTTGGAACCCGAGTATCGTTATACGTTTAAATTATGATTTCCAGGTTAATAAAGTCCTGAAAAGGACTGTTTTGATGTTGTTGACTGATGTTCTTGGACAACCCTAACGGTAATCATCTTCAGGAGTGAATGAGTAAACTTCAGGTTAGCCGTATTTATTGTCTGGTTCTTACGTCATTGTATTGTGGTAAAAGCAGGAAATGTGCAGCAAATGTGTATTGTCATTGTGGACGAGTGTGAAGTGAACATTTCATTTTTAGTTGGATGTGTGATTTAGGTGTGGATGTTTTTAGTTGTAATATGTGGGTGCCAATTGTGTATTACTGTCCAGGAATTAGTTTGAAGTGTAAATGTTTCAGTTGATCGTTTGTTTGTATTGTGAATAAGCCGCTTAAAGGTACCGGTAATGCTTGGATCTGTTCAGGGTTTTGTTCCCAAGTTGGTATACCACCCTAATGCAAGCTGCCACCATAGTCAGTACCGTAGTGATGCATTTTGCCAAGTCCCAGTCAATGTTGTGCTTTGTGGATTCGGTGACGTTCGGCAATGATTAGTTTCCGGTCTTGTTTCTTAGTAGCTCGTTTGTGCTCTCAGTAAGTCTTATGCTCTAAGTTCCTGCCAGTTTAAATATAGAGGCGTGGCAAGTCGAGCAATTTATTTGTAAACTGCACCTTGTCGTACGTTGGGTTGTTCTTTGTCCTTTATGTTCGTTAGTAATTTGTAACGTTGTGATTGGTTTGGCGCGACACATATGTTGTATGGTCGTAAGATACGCGAGATAGTCCAGACGTACATTGATGTAAGGTAATGTTGCTGTTGTCACCGAGTTGTCTGTTCTGCTGATCTAAGCTGGGCCTGTAAGCAAGCAGCAGTTTGATAAAGTCAGAATTATGCTGTTTTGTCAAAAACACGCTCTGAGATAGTTGTTTTCGTTTTGTAGAGCGTCAGGTGAATCACATATGATTTGTGCACGTCTTGTTAATGTTCTGATTGTGGTGGCTTTGTGTGATGAAGTATTGTAAGATGATTGGTCTAGTAGTCGGTCAGTATAAGTGTGCTGGCTTGCGATAAACTGTTGTTCCTAGTTTTGATTGTCATGTTTTATCAAACAGCGAGAAAAGGGGAAGAGTTCCGTTTTCTCTAGACATCTTTGGTAAATTGTATGGCTGTTCTGTTTGGTTGGGATGAGTATGAAGTCAATAAAATACGGCTAACCTGACGTTTACTCCTCATTTGACTCTGAAGATGACTACCGCTAAGGTTGTCGAAACGTCAGTCAACAACATCAAAAACAGTCCTTCTCAGGACTTTATTAACCTGGACGATCATCATTTACAAACATATATTGTGTATTGACGGAGTTGAGCTAAACTAACCTTCCCCACCACAATTTGGACGTGTTTTTTAAATTATGACTTTCCATTTCCTAAAATTATCAAACATTTCTTCAGTCGAGAAGTTCTTCGGTACAATGTTAAAGATAAAAGCTTAATTAAAGACACCACCAATTGTTGATTGAGTAAAATCTTAGATTGAGTTGAAAATCATCTGTACAGCTTGTATACTCCGGAGGTAATTAATATTAAAATCGACTCTTTACTGAGCATGCGCAATTGTAGACACTGACGAGGCTCATTCCAAAGCTCTCAATGAGGTCTGGAATGGTGTAAAATCATCTCCACAGCGTGGTTTAAGGTAGCATGGGTGTTTTAAGGGTGATTTGAGTGTGTTTTAGCGTGGCTTCTAAAGGTGGTCCAAGGTTTCCAAGTTACTCTGCTACTCCTAGACTACGGTTAAACCAATCTTTTAAACTACCCTTAACCCTCCTCTAAAACCATCCTCTACCTTTTAAAACCACCCTTAAACCACCAGATTGATATACTCTAAAACCCAAGATACCTCTACGTACCCCAACTCCCAAGATACCAACACGCATTTTCTATTATTTATTGAAGAGCTTTCACAAACCTGTAAGATGGTGATATCCAGCGTGTACCGTAACCGTTATTTCTGTGAATATTCGAGTTTAGCCTCAATACAATGAAGAATAACACAGTTAAATTTATCATATGACAAAGCATGTAGTTTGCATGAGTTGTTCTTGTGTAGAACAAACTGATAAACGAAACAAAAACCTGTTGTTGGTATACTCTATAGGCCATCATAGAAACGCACAACGCTACACTACTTAAAGAATGGCGGTCAGCTTTACACGACGATCTGACAATTAATCATTATGGAATTAATTATTCATCCTGTTCACTGGTATCGAAGAACAATTTGTAAAACGTTCACTGGTATGGAAGAAACACTTGTAAACGTTCTCTGGTATAGAAGAAATACGTTCGTAAATGTTCTCTCGGTATTGAAGAAACATGAAACGTTCTCTGGTATTAAAGAAATACGTTGTAAACGTTCTCTGGCATTGGAGAAATATTGTTTAAAACGTTCTCTGGTATTGAAGAAATACGTTATAAACGTACTCTGGTATTGAAGAAATACGTTGTAAACGTTCTCTGGTATTGAAGAAATACGTTGTAAACGCGACAGGCCAATTTGAAACACTGTTCTACACTTTATCTTCACAAATATTGTGTTTGCTGTAACGTTTCACGCTAAGTAGCTCTAATTGAAACACAAAAATACACTACAGCTACCCCAATAAGAAAATTCAGTGTTTTTCCTGTGCTTACCTTTATTGAGCGATGAATGTCGTCTTGCATTAGCCAACCCATGATCCACGTAAACTTTGCCTCAAATCAAAGTTGCCGCGCGATGAAAGTATTCCAATGACCAAATCATAATGAGAATAATCTTCTGCTGTCAAGAAGAACATTAGTTTAAACATTAAAGAAAACAAGTGGAAATACAAATACAAAATTGACTATGGAGGATAAAGTTTGATAACATGGTTAAATAACACTAGCGAAAGTTTCAATAATAGATCACTCCTGACAAAGGCATAAGACTGAGCATATAGTGACACTCACGTTTCAACATTAGATCAATCCTGATGAAGAAACTACGCTAGAGTATATGTAAACTTATCTTTCAACAACATATCGTTCATGCTCAAGATATTAGATAGACGTACGACAATCTCTAATTTTATATAAATCTCGATAAAAATCTGCTCCTGAGTTGACATGCTATCAGATAGCAACAAACAAAGATGAGATAGCTGTACAAACCTGTATTATCGCAGCAAAGCTTCAAATCTTTAACAAGATGATTATAGATGTATAACACGAAAATAGCGATCAATATTATAAAGTTGGCTTAAGGATGTCTTTTAACAAACATAAGTTGAAATTAAACAGTTACAATTAACTATAACGGTGAAATATACTTCCCTAATTAAAATAATCTTCACGTTATCCTCACAACGAACTATACACATTGCCAATTTTAATACATACGAACTTTGACCTCGGGTGTAAGTTGCAGAAACGTCATGTAACCAGTCTCAAAGTACCAATATAAATTAGCAAACTTTAGATCTATCTTACCAAATGGACTTAAATTGAGCAATAAAAATCTTAATCTTCAACAAAGCATATCCAAAGATTTCTATGAATGTATAAAAGTATACAATCGTTAAAAGATCATGCTGCACGCTTTTTTCTTCACCAACTGAGCAAAGATTCCTTTTCCTTGAACTGCTTGTCGACAACCATTGAAAGATTATTCAAAAACTCTCTAAGGTTATCGTTTGTGCCTATTATTCAGGTTTGAGGGACAATATAAGTACATGCATGTACAACAAAGAACACGAGTGAAGGCTTTAATTCGTATTACTTACTTCTTCGAATACAGCGTAAGAATGGTAGTTTCATGAAGAGTTCGACCACTAGTTGATAACTTTTCAAACAAGAAAATGAGAGAAAGAATACTCAATCGTAGGTTTATCACTGTGAGATGCGCTTTGACTGCTCATTGCAAGTCTCGAAAGGAGAAGGGCCTCCCAAAGAAACCTAACTAAAGTTAACCAATAAGTGTTGTGGTCATTTCCATGACCATTTACTAGCACAATTGGTCATGAGCTTTGCACATACTGCGCATGTCCACGCGTACTGCGCATGCTCAGATGATCTTTCTTACATTTATGTGACCAAGCGATTTAATTACTCAGAAAGCGATGAAAGTAACTTCACATTTCAAGTGATTTTACGACAGAAACGGTTGTTGGGAACTGGGGCCAAGAAAACCAAAGCATGTCAACTCCGATAGCATGTCAACTCCGGGGAGCAGATTTTTTATCGAGATTTATATGAAATTAGAGATTGTCGTACGTCTATTTAATATCTTGAGCATGAACGATATGTTGTTGAAAGATAAGTTTACATATACTCTAGCGTAGTTTCTTCATCAGGAGTGATCTAATGTTGAAACGTGAGTGTCACTATATGCTCCAGTCTTATGCCTTTGTCAGGAGTGATCTATTATTGAAACTTTCGCTAGTGTTATTTAACCATGTTATCTAAAAACTTTATCCTCCATAGTCCAATTTTGTATTTGTATTTCCACTTGTTTTCTTTAATGTTTTAAACTAATGTTCTTCTTGACAGCAGAGAATTATTCTCATTATGATTTGGTCATGGGAATACTTTCATCGCGCGGCAACTTTGATTTAAGGCAAAGTTTACGTGGATCATGGGTTGGCTATGCAAGACGACATTCATCGCTCAATAAAAGGTAAGCACAGGAAAAACACTGAATTTTCTTATTGAGGGTAGCTGTAGTGTATTTTGTGTTCAATTAGAGCTACTTAGCGTGTGAAACGTTACAGCAAACACAATATTTGTGAAGATAAAGTGTAGAACAGTGTTTCAAATTGGCCTGTCGCGTTTACAACGTATTTCTTCAATACCAGAAAACGTTTACAACGTATTTCTTCAATACCAGAGAACGTTTACAACGTATTTCTTCAATACCAGAGAACGTTTACAACGTATTTCTTCAATACCAGAGAACGTTTACAACGTATTTCTTCAATACCAGAGAACGTTTACAACGTATTTCTTCAATACCAGAGAACGTTTACAACGTATTTCTTCAATACCAGAGTACGTTTATAACGTATTTCTTCAATACCAGAGAACGTTTAAAACGTATTTCTCCAATGCCAGAGAACGTTTACAACGTATTTCTTCAATACCAGAGAACGTTTACATCGTATTTCTTCAATACCAGAGAACATTTACAACGTATTTCTTCTATACCAGAGAACGTTTACAAAGTATTTCTTCAATACCAGTGAACGTTTACAAATTGTTTCTTCGATACCAGTGAACGTTTACAAAGTATTTCTTCAATACCAGAGATATGTTAGGTAGAATAAGCTGATTACCATAATGAGCAACGTTTAAGCAATTGTCAGATCTACGTAGAATCGAATTGGACATTTTTAGCTGACCGCCATTCTTTAAGTAGTGTAGCGTTGTGCGTTTCTATGATGGCCTATAGAGTATACCAACAACAAGGTTTTTTGTTTCGTTTATCAGTTTTGTTCTACACAAGAACAACTCATGCAAACTACATTCTTTGTCATATGATAAATTTAACTGTGTTGACTAACTTCATTGTATTGAGGCTAAACTCGAATATTCACAAGAAATAACGGTTACGGTACACTTGCCCAAGATATCACCATCTTACAGGTTTGTGAAAGCTCTTCAATAAATAATAGAAAAATGCGTGTTGGTATCTTGGGAGTTGGGAGTACGTAGAGGTATCTTGGGATTTTAGAGTATATCAATCTGGTGGTTTAAGGGTGGTTTTAAAAGTGGATTAGAGGTGGTTTTAGAGGAGGGTTAAGGGTAGTTTAAGGGTGGTTTAACCGTAGTCTAGGGTAGCGAAGCGTAGCTTGAAGCCTTGGACCACCTTTAAACCACGCTAAAGGTACACTCAAATCACCCTTAAAACACCCTTACGCTACACTTAAACCACGCTGTGGAGATGATTTTACACCATTCCAGACCTCTCATTGAGAGCTTTGGAATGAGCCTCGTCCCGAGTGTCTACAATTGCGCATGCTCAGTAAAGAGTCGATTTTAATATTAATTACCTCCGGAAGTATACAAGCTGTACAGATGATTTTCAACTCAATCTAAAGATTTTACTCAATCAACAATTGGTAAGGTGTCTTTAATTAAGCTTTTATCTTTAACATTGTACCGAAGAACTTCTCGACTGAAGAAATGTTTGATAATTTTAGGAAATGGAAAGTCATAATTTAAAAAACACGTCCAAATTGTGGTGGGGAAGGTTAGTTTAGCTCAACTCCGTCAATACACAATATACTGAGTACATGTTTGTAGATGTAGATCATCCAGGTTAGTAGAGTCCATAGAAGGACTGTTGGTGTTGATGTTGATTGACGTTTCGACAACCTTAGCGGTAGTCGTTTTATAGTCAAAAATACTACTGCTAAGATTGTCAAAGGTCAGTCAACATCAACATCAAAATCCTTCTCAAGACTTTACTAACCTAGACGATCTACATCTAGAAACATGTAACGATACTCCCGGGCTCAAACAATTTACTTTATACTGAGTCCATTCTAAAGATTTTATTGACGTAGTGCGAATCCTTTGAGATATCATGTTTTGGGCATTAGTATTTGCCAAATTTGATAATTTTTCAAGTAAAACAGAAACGAGATTGCGAACATACGAATTAGCGTTTTCCATGCGACTAAACTATGAATAAGGTATGAAAATATGAGTTGTAGTTATTGCTTCTAAATGCAATTGCTTCTTCATATTTACAGCTTTCGTACTGATTGGTTGATCGAGAGGCAGGAAAATGAGCCGAGCCTGAATATCCGGGCGTGACTTATCCGACATTTGCCTGAAGTGCGGGCAGCATTATTTCTTCGGATATTGTTCACTGGCTGGCAAAAAACGAGAAATCTCTGAAACGTTATCAGGTATGTGATAGAAAAACCACGACGAGATTACAATGTTGAAAGTGACCTATTGATGTGTAAGGATGTAGTTCTCAGAGTACTAGATATTGACACATGTTTTTCTTTCTTGTGTAAAGGGGGAGGATGTCTCTATGGGTATTTGGTTATCAGCTATTCCTCCTGAAATTTATAATGCAAGATCTCCTGTTCTTCCCTGTAAGTTATTGACAGTTGTTCAACAAGATCCTTTATGGTGATCGTACTCCAACAATCTTTTTTCAACATCACGAGGATTCAATAGAAACGTTTGACATGACCGTTAAAATTTCTTCATCGGAAACGCTACTACCGTTTGGTAGAGCAATAAAACGATCAGCGTTTTAATATCTTCTATTAAACTTCCACCTCTTTCCTCGCGTGCGAACACGCTACCATTGCTTGTGAAGCTGTCGGCAACCTTCGACTCCTTTCGACCAATTTTATCGGGAGATCCCGACTCTCGACCACGAGCGCTCTCCGTCTCGCTGTTGAATCTAGAGTGACGAGTCTCGCTACTCGTGGAAATGTAGCTGTTCTCTTGTGGACTTCCTTGTTGTCGTCTCTGCTCTCGTTGTTGTTTTTCTTCGCATGCTGCAAGTTTCGCAGTCAAATCACGTATTTCCTCCTGTGAAAAGTGTAAGGATAATGATTTTAATTTGGGAATGTCATTAATTGAATATCAAATCGTCTTATTTCATATGTGTTAACGGATTCTTTGCTACAATTTCAATAGTTTTAATTGAGGATAATAATCTCTCTAAATTGAAGAAGATAATCCCTCTAAGTTGGGGATAATAATCAACTATAAGTGATAATGATCACTTTTGCGTGTTGCGTGAGTTGAGATTTTGACAGTTGTTTAACAAAAGCATATTTTACACGTTGTTTGACGTACGCCTATAAATGGTTTAATGCATTATGTGCCGTCACAAAAAGCACACATTCAATTTTCAAGTTTTGAGAAAGAGAAAGACTGTAATTGGACGTGAATACCATTAAAGGGACCAAAGTTTAACATATTTTCCTCATACCTTCCCGTCAGACCATGGTGCATCTTACGATCGACGTTCACATCGAAGGACGTCTTTATTTTACATAAAATTTTCACATTAGGTATGATTAGAAGTTTTATGAATTATATAAGAATTTGAGAAAATTTGATGAAATGCTTCAAAGAACTTAAGATTCTATTTAGGCATTGGCTATCTATACGTATGTATATATACTATATATAGTATATAATATAGTATAAGGATATCAGTTCACATCGAAGGACGTCTTTATTTTATATAAAATTTTCACATTAGGCATAATTAGAAGTTTTATGAATTATATAAGAATTTGAGAAAATTTGGTGAAGTGCTTCAAAGAACTTAAGATTCTATTTAGGCATTGGCTATCTATGCGTATGTATACTATATATAGTATATAATATAGTATAAGGATATCAGTTCACATCGAAGGACGTCTTTATTTTACATAAAATTTTCACATTAGGTATAATTAGATGTTTTATGAATTATATAAGAATTTGAGAAAATTTGATGAAATGCTTGAAAGAAATTTGAATTTAGTGTTCAGGCATTGGACATCAGTTCTATATGAATAAGTATATATATTGAAATTAGATCTACAGATGGTAATGGAATTCGACTTTGGAATTCGACTTGTTACAATGTTCTTTGCCAAGCTGTGAACAACCAAACAGAAATTGAGCTTCCTTTATGTCAAATATCACTTAAGCTTTGATGACGACTGACGAGGTCACAACTAGTCTATAACAAGGTCGTAGCTGCTTGTAGCTGAGGGATTCATTTTCTCAGCAACGTGTGTCAACTCATCACAAGCATCATTTAGTGTTCCAGTGCTACTTGTGGCAGGTCTGTTAGCTGTTGAAAGACTTTCAGTCGACAAACGGACGCGTTTTGGTTGTGATGCCTGCTCGGTCCCATCATCTTCATTTCTACTTATAAGTTGACCGAAGGAGTTAAAACTCATAGCCATTCCAAACTGTGAAGAGACAGAAGATTTAATAAATTTTAAAAGATTATTCCGGCAACTGGAAAAGGCAACATCACTTAGACTCCATTAAAAATAAAGAATAAAACACTCACTTACCTGCTTGCGATGAGTATTAATGATACGTTGGTTTAATTTCTCATTACTAAAATGAGTTGCCAATCGCTCCATGAAGTAGCAATACGCACTTTTCCTTCACAGAACAAATCCATGAGCTTTTCAATTGAACATTCATCAGATGTAGCCCCAGCTGATGTTAGGTTTTGTTTATGATACGCTTTCATGTATTCGGTATTAAAAAGTTTCCTTCCTCTTCTGCATTTTGGGCCAATATATGGGGCCCAAAACTTATATGAAGGCTTGATTTCTAAAGGGTTTTTTTCAGTACCTACAAACAATTGAAAAACTACAAGCATTATCATAATTCAAACACACCAGATGGTGTATACGCTACGTGCACATCAAACAAATCAATCATAAGGATTTGTAAACAAAAATAAACCGGATTTGTAAACAAAAATAAACCAAAAAATAAATTATGTAAGAAAAAACGTTAAAGTTTCACGTGCAGTGAGTACATAAACATTGTAGCACGTACGTACCTCTCAATACTCCTCTGTATAAGATCCCACAGTTCACTTGTTGCCAGTACTTTTCAGCGTCCACTTCATCTGCAGGAGCATCGGATTCGGGGTCTGGCAACTGAAGTTCACTAACTACAATGCAAATGAATACAAGTTAACAAAATCAAAATTCAAGTCAACAAACCTAAAAAATGACAATGTAAAAGTATGTAACAAAAACCACTCATAAAAAAAGTTTGCCAAATTATCAGTCAAATTTACCCGCTAGTTCAAAGATTCCTTTCTTGTCTACATCTAGAGTTAACAGGGGAGGAAAGTGTCCACACAAAACACAAGAAAACCCATAGTCATGATCTGAGAGAGCTTCAAAGTGAAGATACGCGTTCATCATTTGACCACGTGGTAACTGAAATGGTCGCAACTGCAGCCAGTTTTCAATTGCCTCAACAGTGCGACTGACAGCGTTGTGAACCTATATTTTTCATACAATACATGCTCATTTATAGCATGCATACCTGGTTATTAATATCCCTTCCTTGTTTTTCTTAACTATCAACATGCAAAAATTGGGGAGTGGGGTGGTACAATATGGATGATGCACAGTTTGGTTAAGGCCATCACCCAGTTAAAAAAATTTACATCAAGAGAAAAAGAGAGGAAGGAATAGTGACAAGTGGTTCTTAAATGCTTTAAAAATAACATACCTGAAGATGTTTTCTGATCATATCACATATTCCCAAACTTAAAAGCCAGTTGTCATTAAAATTGTGAACACCAGCTGAATACTCCTGGTATCTGTACGGTATCTTGCACTCGACACAAAACTTTGCAAACAGCGAAATTCCTGGAAGAACAAAGAAAAGATACACACACATATGTATACATTGTATAATACGCTTTCTGCTAATGCATAGTTTGAGCATTTTCCACAGACTACGTAGAGAGTCCATATGACACGTTCAACGCTTTCGCCCTATGCAAAGCTCACCGTTATAGGTTTGAGCACTCTGGTAACTATACAAACCAATCCATAAAATGTGTAACTGTACATTTTGGGTTTATCTTCAACTCAATGTCTTATCTAAAGTTCGAGATTTAAATCGATGATATATACACGCTGTTTCATATTAATGACAAACCTTCAATAATCCCTTTCATAGTTACCAGCTTTGCATTCTTGTTACACAGTGTGGCTCAGTTAGTGGTGATTTACAATAAAACAGATGGTTTCTACAGGAAGGTAACTAGGAGACAAGACAATGTCAATACAAACAATAAATCTTTTTGCTGTTTTAGTTAATGGAAAGAATGTCATTTTCAATAAGGAACTAAACCGTTGGAGAATATTTTCGTTGGAGTGAAGACAATGCAATAATAAAAGGTTGCTTTGTTCGATTTAAATAAACAGTTACCTTTTAGCAAATTGTTCCTTTCCACAGTTAATGTCAAAGGAAGGTGTGAAGGGATTTTCTTTTCAGCAAACAGGTATTCAACAAACTTTGCAGCCACATCTCCAGAAGGAGGATAAAAAAAGCTGCCAGATAGGGAAATTTGATTTTGATTTTCAAGTAGAACGTCTTCAACAGCATTATCTTCTGGTTCTGGTAAACTTAAATCTTCACCAATTTCATCATCAATTGGTGGGGTGGTGCCAACAACAGAGGGATGCCACTGTCCAAACTGTCCAATTGCCCACTTAACAATGCATTTATGCATGCAGGAACGACGAGATGGGCAGCATTTGCAATGAAATGATGAAGTTTCATTGTCATATGATACAATTACTCGTTTGCAAAATGACCAGTAATGATCCCGTTTAACATTTGCAAACACAGAAAAATGAAAGAAACGATTGGAGGAATCAGGTGTGACAGGCATCTGAACAGCAAGTGGGGTATTCTTGTCATTAGCTTGTTTCTGCCACTGCAGACATTCAGACCTCCGTTCAAATTTCAACCATTTCAAAGTGTTCACTATATAATCAAGAGAATCTTCTCTTAAATGATCAACAACAGTTGACGTCCCAATAAAATATGTAGACTGCACAAGATCACAAAGAAAATTTGCTTGACCACTTCTTGAAGCAGTTTCGCTAAGTTGACGACATGTATCAACACTACATGCAATAGAAGGAGAGTTTGTGGTTTTAAATTGACAATGAATGGGATGATCTGTTCCACTAAGTTGTTTCCTCACAAGATAAACCCCATTTGTCGAGTCAACACATATTCCATTCAAGTACCTCATTGAAGATATTTTCTTTCTTTATCAGCAGCATGTTTGGTTTTATGTGGCTTGAAAGGAATTTGGATGAAATTCTCGTTTACAGTCCAGGAAAGGACATTTAACTCTGGGTGGTTGTTGTCGCATTGAACGAGACTGAGCAGGCATGTAAGAAAACTCCTGATATTGGTGAACCTCAGACATTTCTATGTTTGTGCTGCTTTGTTGGTGTGTTTCCTCAGATAGTTGCATATGTAGAAATTGCTCTTGTTGTTGCTGTGTTTGCAGCTGTGTGAGATGCTGAGTGGTCACTTGGTGCTCCAGCTGATGCTGCTGAACTTGAGGGAACTGAGTTTGATACATTTGCTGCTCAAATGGTAGGTTTTGAGGTACTTGCTGTTGGGCTACTTTATGTGGAGAAAGTTGACTTTGAGAACATTGTTATTGTTTCCCCAAACCAAACTCTACAACAGAAAGCTGTAAATCATGTGCACTTCTTATATGTCGAATTGCTTCATTGCGACGCTTGAATCCAGAATTACATCCAAAACAGTGATAGTGCGAAACATCTTTGATGGAAGTGGTTTTGAAGTGTGAAACTTTGCAAGAAGCTCTGGTAAAATTGCAAAAATGTAGATTTCTTTTGCTTTTTCAATATTGACAGCAAGGGATTGTCATCTCTCGAATTCGTTCAATATAAATGTCATTTGGAGTCCAGACAACAAAATCTACAAACTTTAACTTTGTAGAGGCTAATTGCAGTTGGACTTGATAGTAATATTGGTGTTTCCTGTCCATCTGTAAGGTACCATTTGGTGTCTTAGTGAGACAAAAATTCTTTCCATCACTTATGCCATGCTGGATAGTCTTGTTTCTTAAACTGTATGGGCACTTAATCTCAACACATCCTTCACCATGGCAGTTGCAGTAACTGATTGCATCTGGACTTGCACCAAGAAAAGGGTACTTTGGATCAATTACAAATCCAGATTCTTTAACTGAGAAGATGCTATGATTTTCTTTCATTACCTAAATAAAATTAAGATATATATTTATGTATCTAATTATTTATTTTGATATATTGCACAGCAAAGCCCATGTAATTAAGAAAATTAAATTTTTGTGCCAAATGAGTACATGTTTGCTATTAGGTTTATGAGTGCATAAAAAATTTTTTATGTGCAATCAATTTGCAGCAATAAACACTTAATTAACTGGATGAACAATTCATGAAATAACAATATGTCAATGCTGACTTGTGTATATTGATTTAGGGCTCTTTCTCATTGGCCTTTCCCCACGATGCTGCATCAGACTTAAACTGTGAACCATAACAAACATCTTTGACCGGGCTTAGTGATGGTGTTTCAGGATTTGTGCAACAAGCCCTGTGGAAGTTGCTGGCAGTTATTCTCCCATTCGCATTTGATGCCAAATCTGAGACTTGCTTTGATTTTGTGTAGCTTTTTCTATCATATCAGCTTGTTGTTGATTGATTGTAATTGTCTCCATAACTTCTTTTGATTTCGAAATTAGCTCCTCATACTCAAGACAAGCAAATTGGTGGGAGTACAACTTATTCAAGGGGTCTGGAAGGTTAACAGCAGGTCTCTTTGGCACAAATTTTTCGTTAAATGGAGAAATCAGTGACAAGATTGCAGGATTACTTTTAGTGTCGCTTAGATGTTGATAAAACTTCTTTATTTGATTTTCAGACGGCTTGTACTTGTTTTGCAAACGAGGCTTGTCTGTTGTCATTGTCTGATCGGTAGTAGATGATGAACTAGAAGCTAATTCATTGATATGTTCATCCAGCTTTTGCTTTTTACGTTTGGAAGAAGTAAAATCAACGTCACAAAGTTCTTGATAAGTAATCTTTGATACTGTCTTAGGCATTAGCCACTGACAGGAATAGACGTACAAGTCCTGTTCTTTACTATTCGTACACCAGTTTCAACAGCAAAGAGCAACGCTCCAGCATGTGAACAACATTCTCCCAGTCCAGCTTTACAGTTGCAATGTGCTGTTATAACAGACCCATTGTTATATACAGCAGCCCATGGTTTTAGAGGAGTGTCATTCAGGCTTTGCGAATGATTTACCTATGAATTAAACACCAAATTTTTTTTTCATACTGATTGTTACAATGATTGTAAAAACACGTTTTAAGTAATAATTATACTAACCTTTGCGATTAAAATCTTGATGTTAGTACTTGCTTTACCGACATACACACACCTCACCCATCCAGCAACAAAATACTGGTATGATTCTAAGCTTTTGTAAGCTTTCAGTTGCTCCTTGGTATACCTACTTGTTGAAAACAACAGGTAGGTCACAATGTCGGGGAACTCAACATTGGGCCATAAATCCATCGCGTCAGAAAAAAATTTGTGACTAACATTATAGGGATCGATACCACAAATTAACTTTAACTTCTCTTCGTATTTAACACGATCTTCAACACTTAAAGTTTCACGATATTTAGGAAGGCATGGCACTCGTTCGTATTGACTTGAAGCCATGTGCGTTTTGCATGCCCCCCTATCATGGCGCCATAGTTACGGTTGCTAATCAACAAGTTGTAAGTCACGTGTTCATGCAAAGCCTCTATACATACGTATAGATAGCCAATGCCTAAATAGAATCTTAAGTTCTTTGAAGCATTTCATCAAATTTTCTCAAATTCTTACATAATTCATAAATTTTCTAATTATGCCTAATGTGAAAATTTTATGTAAAATAAAGACGTCCTTCGATGTGAACTGATATCTTTATACTATACGTTATACTATATATATATAGTGTATACATAAACAATTTTTTGCGCATTGCTGTAACCTTTTAAAATGAGCACTACAGGAATCGAACCCATATACTAGAAACAGCTAGCAAACCATTATGCTCGTTTAAAGGACAACAACAAACTTTTTCTGTTTTTCCATCAAATTTTATCACGTTATTGATTGTTCTTAGTCTCCTTGATTGATCACAAACGCAAACTACTGCAAAATACAAATAGCTGATATTAATGTTCGAGGCATATAAGAATATTATCCCAATTTTAACGCAACCTGGGCACATTCACTTCTTCATTCAGGCCATGCAGTAAAACTTATTTTAAATGACAACTTTTCCCAGAACTGTTTCACCCCGAATGATAGGTCCCAAAGAAATTATGGATTTATCCACACTTGTTTTGAAAGGGATACGTTGCTCTAGTTTGGGTGAGATGTCAGTGAGCACTTGTTGCTGTAGAATCTCAAGTTTTTCTGTTGAATTCTGTTACCTTTCATGGTGATTGGGAGAATACTGGAAGAGTGCTCCATCAAACACTCAACGATATTAGTAGAACATCTAAAACATTCAGATGCATTAGACGATAAACGTTCGACACAAAGAATAGCACAATTCGTTGCACGTTTGGCTCTGGTTCGTCCAGACCATTTGTTGTTTGTTACAACTCGTTGTAAAATAAGCAAATCAAACATATCATAATTAAATGGATTCAATAGACTCTTGAATGCTTTGCCGAACTACTTAAGAGGCAATATTATTATCCAATAATATAATTAGAAAATAGTTTATGACGTTAATGATAGAAGAACATGGAAATCTACATGTATGTCTTATGTCTAATAGGAAATCTCTATAGAACTGTCCATTGAAAATCTTGTTGTTTTAATGTTTTCATATTACGTTTAAAGGACTGCTGTAATTGGAGAAAGTTCCTAGCCAATTGGTAGTCATCTATGTTACTTTCTGGTGAATATGTTGGGAGATTGGTGTCATACTTTATGGACATAGTAACGTTTTTTTACAAAACATTGAAATTTCTGGTGCAATCTTATTATCATGTTTGGATCAATTGTTTCCTTTGGACAATTAATGAGTCGTGACATTCTACAATTTTAAAACTGCTGAAAAGTGCTAATTCAACTTA